GAGCCGCGCACGGCGCCCGCCGCTCCACAGCTACCCCTGTAGCACGATGTGTCCCAGTGCAAATTACAGCGCTCCGACGCAAGAAACATCTGGACAGCCAGCAGCTGTGCACTTTAATTGCTGCCATTCAGAACTGCAAAGTAAATATACGGCTCTGCAGAATTTCTGCATCCAAATGTCTTTACACCCATGAGTACACCAGTGCCCTTTCCTCTATGCCGCGCACCATGCATTCACAGAACCAAAAGGAGTAATAAACGTCCAACAGAAATACTTTTCTGTAATACAAAATATAAAAATCATTTTAAACATTCTGGTCATTTAGTAAGTAGGCACACTACAGGAAAACCCTACATTTTACCTTGTCCTTTTTAGTTCAGTTTACGGGCGTGAACCAGCCGTAACGCAGCACTAACGCTGCCGTGCTAAGCGCCTTGCTAGCTGCAAGGAAACGGCCCGTTCAGTCCAGCACGCAGCAACGGTGCCGCCTGCACCCACGGGTGCTGGTGTGACCCCGCACGGGCTGGCGGACGGGGCAAGCGCAGCGAGGGCTGCACTCGCGGCGCTGCTGGAAGCGCAGGGAGGGAGATACTTACTGCACGACCACATTCATTTTGCAGCCTCTATAAAACGCCCCAACAGAGGCCGTGCCTTTGCCCACTGCACCTACCTGCTTCCCCAAAGCAAGCTTAAGGAACAGGGATTTGGAGGCAGCAGAAGTACTCGATCCCAAGCAGATCCGCTTGGAATTACTTTACCAAAATACTTTACCAACCATCTGTGGCATTTTCAGCAATTCTGAAGTGGGGAGGGGCTCTGATTAAAATTTTCGTGCATGTTTTCTCCTCTTTAAGGAAAGTGAGAACAGCTACTTCCCTTGCTGCTCTGCACTGGAAGCTGACACTCACCAACCTGTTACAATTCAAGGGAAAACACTCCAAGCAGTTGCTTGACTGCAATTGCTTTTTCTTTGATGAACAATGGAGAAATAACAATATATTCCCAATCTATTATAAACTGAACAACAGGATATTAACAAAGTGAGTCAAAAACAATTTCTTCCCATGTCAGTCTGAAACTTTTAAATATTTATGAGGTTTAACATTCCTAAATTTAACAGGAGTGCCATAATCCAAAATAACTGCTGAATTAATAGCCAGGAGATAACATTTGTATAAAAGAACCATTTGTTTTACAACAGCAATAAAGGAAACAACAGAATTATGAGTGTTGAGACTAATTTGAATAATGTTAAAAAAATGATATGTTGTGGGGCTGCAGCAATATTCCAGCTGCACCTGGCATTGTCTGTCCTCAGTTTCTTATATAGGAAATGCAGCAGTCCAGGGTTTATAGGAGAGCAGTCATTAAAACTTCATTTTTTTTAATTACAAAGATATAAAAAATATTCATAATACAGAATATTAAAACATTCCCAGCCTTGAAATTTTGCTGCACTGCAGGAGAAATTCCATTGGATTTCTCAAAATAAACAGAAATAACAACGTTTCCTTACTGGAAAACAGAGAGGATGAAAGGACCACGACAATAAGAGGAAGGGGCAGGCAATTAAAATCCCACCTGCACTATGATTATTTTTTTAAAGCCCCCTCCCCGCTGCAGTGTTTTAAGATCACTTAAAAGACTTGCCTCCTTCTGAATGTTTTGAAGTTCAGTTTCCTCCCTCTAGAAACAATTAAGAACATTAAAGACTGAAGTCTTTTCACCCTGCAAACCAAGTAATTTCAAGGCTCTTCATCCCTGAGAAAGATTCCTGTGGCTTGCGAGGGCTTACTGTAAGTTGAAGCCGGACATACCTCCCTCAGCGTCCACGGGCCGCGCGGGACGGACACAGACAGGCAGGGAGGGAGGGAGGGCGCCTGGCGCTCCGCATGGGACGGCTCCTCGCTCCCTCGCAGCCCTGCCGGGGCGGGAACCGCCTTCCCGCTCCAGCGCCATCGGCGCGGGGCCCTCCCGCCATCCCGCGGAGCCGCGCGGCGGCTGCTGCCCAAAGCTAAGCAGGAAAGCGGCCACATCCACCGAGTGCGGAGTGGGAGCTTCAGGGAGGCACCGGGACGGGAAATACTTCAGTCAAAGGCCAGTACTCAACGTTCGTGTGTCAGTGCTGCCGAAGACAAAGATTTCGTGTCGTTCTTCAATACATGCAGAAAATGTACGCCTCACAAAAGGTTTCTTTACATCATAGCATGGAACTAAATCAGCATAAAGACAAGGATTCCTCTTTTTCCTTCCAGGCAGCATGTGTGTGTTTGCATATACATGTGAGAAGAATACAATATGATACATACACAAAGCATTTTAAAATGCCCTTACTGCAAGGGTTGAATAAAGCAATCACTTGCAAGGAACAGCCATCAGTCAACACATGCAAAGGGAAACTTCTGCTGCTCTTACCAGGCATGTTTCCTGAGTGGGATAGTGTTTTACACTTAGCTTGGCTAGCGTTACTGCAAGTAGCTTTACTTTTAGCATTACTTTCAATTTCTGTCATGTACTGCACTAGTAACTTCATAAGGACCAACACTGCTATTGAGAAATAGGCAGGACATACAGCTACGTGCTCTCTTGCACTCATTAATGACAATGGAGGAAAAAAAAGAGTCTTTAAATCAGTTTACAGTTATAAAGAATACAGGAATGATCCTTTGAGATGAGTGAAAGGCAAAGGGGGAAAACTTCCTGTCTTGAATCATTTGTTATAGCAGCTGCCAATGGCTCCTGACAGATATCCTCCTATTATATGATCTGGAGACACATTTCCAGCCCTTCCTTGCTCAAAAACTACTCCTGCCTCCTCTTTGGTATATTCTATTTCTTTCACGTGATATCAGAGCTATGCTGTAAGGGTAACTTCCCCTACAGAGTATGGTCTGCTTTCTATATATATATATATATATGTGTGTGTGTGTGTGTAGCTCCATGGACAATAACATTAAATATTTACCAGCATTTCCTAAGCAGAAAACGCTGCTGGCCAGACAGAAACAGTAGAAAGAAGCATGAATATATGTAACAAATACACAGATACCCCACAAAATACGTGTGCAGCTGTACCAGAAGAATGGCAAAATGACACAACAGCCTTCCTAACATCCTGGGGCTCCGAACCGGCCTCCACGCACTGTGATTTCCATAGAGCAGCAAGACCTGACCTGATGCACCCTTTACGTTGATGAATTATTTTCAGGTGAAAAGTTAAACAATTAAACTGGAGCTTAAGACAACAGAACTTAGGCAAAATAAGTAAAAAAACTCTTTTAGTTTAAAGCTTTTTAGGCTGAGTATTTCTGTGCCTGGGGTCTCTCCCAGATTAGGAACTGAAAATCCTTACAGTCAGATCATCAAACACTGCACAGAAACCATTAAAATGAAGAATAAATAAAAACATGATGCAGTCTTAATCTCATACTTAATCTTCTGTCAAGTTGTACAGGAGACAGTAATTGCTGATGGTACAAATATTTATTTGCAAGGGTTCCTTTTGTGTGGAAAGGCCTCGAAAAATACTTGATTATATTTATATCTTCAAGCCTCTTTTAAAGTATTCATAATTGGCTATTGCCATGAGCAGCAGTGGACATATTTTTCACTTACTTGCAGTCGTGCGAGACCAAAGCTTATTTGCCCTTCAACAGCTTTCATCAAGTTTTGTTTCTCTGACTGCGGTCCCGGTAGGAAGGGGCACGCAGAGCACTGCAGGCTGGGATGAACCAGGAGCGGGGCTTTGGCAGGAGTCGCGGCAGACGGATGGAAGCGGGAGCTGAGGAGACCTCTCCCTCCCCAGCCCGAGATCCCGGCCCTCATCCCGGACTGCGCCCGGGCTTCATCCAACAACGTCCACAAGTCACAGACACCAGCGCTCCCGGGAGCAGCATCTGCAGGACCCGGGAGTCGCGCTGCTCCTGCACACAGCCCCGAAGGCTGCAGGAAGAACCTGAGTGTATCTGTATGCGGCCGCATCCACAGCTGGCAAATTAACAGCGTAGCACGTAACGCAAACGTGAAAAGTGGAACAACAAGCTGCATTTAGTCTCGTTTCAAAAAGCTGAATAGATATAATTACCATTTAGCACAAACACTGGTATTTGCTTTAATAATAAGAGAAGCCTCATGGCATTGGAAGGCTGTATGTTCAGCTGCTCTTGTAAGGACAAGAAAAGCCACTAAGCAATCTATCACGTATCAATCACAGCACTTAGGTATCGTGCACTGGGGGCCTAGGAAAAAAATATAATATTTATTTTTTGCTTTTGGCATAAAACTGTGCGTATGAGAGAAAAAGATTTTGTCTTTTCAAAATTTTATATTTTAAATGGCAAGGTCATTACAGTATTTCACATGCTGTTTCCAAAGGGAGCCTAAAACTGTTTAAAAGCTGGAAGTATCTTAAATGTTCCTGATGAAGCAATCTTTTCTGAACATACTACTTTCTCAAAATGAGACCCATGAAAAGGAATAATAAATTTCACAGGCTACTAAGATAAAAATATTGCATTTAAAATTTTGTTACAAACTATAATAGAAAAGTTACAACATACATTATTTATGTTGCTAAAAATCAATCCTTAGTGTTAAAGTTGTTTCCTGGTACATAGAAACAAAATATACGGCAGCCTATAAAGGGAACAAGAAAATTCCATTTTAAAAGAACAGAGACATAAAATAAAAGCAATTAATGGTCTGAGCATCTATTATTCTTAAGACCAAAGTCCATATCCACAGCAGCTCAGGAGTGGAGTTTTACAGGCATCACTTTCTAGGCAATGATCTCCCAGAGCACACAGGGAGTCTCCATGCCCTTTCGGCTCCTTTCTGCAGGTAATTAGCAAATAACCAGCATGTCACATACTACAGAGCAACAACCGTGATTTTTTTTTTTTTTTTAAAAAGAACTACAAGTGCAAATAAGAAGCTCATACAAGAAAAACTATTCAGCCTCTGTCACTGAATTTTAAATAGTTACAAGCAGAAAACCTAGGTCAAATCTTTCTCCATGGTACAAAATAGGTATTCGGCTGCTGTTTCCCACCGCAGGTTTACTTGGCTTTAGCCAGCAGAAAGTCATCTTTGTTGCTCCCATGAAGAGCAGAACAGGTAACAAGGCCTGACCCCCTCATGCCTGGGAATTAGGAGGGGACAGCGCGAGCGACATAAAGGAGCTGCCTCCTCCTCCTCCAAAAGACCCAGGAACAGGGAGGAAGGGCCCCAGAAGACCCAGCAGAGGGAAAAGCTGCCCCCTCTCCCGGCAGAGCATCCCTTGGTCTGCACGGGGCACAGGAGCCACGTCCTAACCCCAACCTGCAGGGCACAGAGCTCTGTTCATAGGTCACTGATACCAACTTTTTTTTTTTTTTTTTGAGAAATTGTTAAATTTACAAGCCCTGCACTATCAACAAAAAAAAAAAAAACAGCCCTCAACCTTGTATTTATGTATTTATGGTGGGGTGTATTATACCCCACCATCTTTATAAATTCTCTTTAAACAAAAGAAGTTGCTTTCGTCTACAACACTTTGAGGTGGAAGGCCGCAACTGTCTTGCAACACAGCGTAGCTACTTCAGTCTTGCTGTTGTTAGGGTTGCTCGGCCTGCTTGGAGGCGACTGCCAGAGACGCGGGTTGGACGCGGCCTAACGGGAAGCGCCACCATCCCCGCGAGGGAGGGGAAGTCGATTTGGCAGGGTCGTGTCTCAGGGCAAGGGCTGTCTCTCTGCGCCGCCTCTGTTGTGCTGTGCACAAGGGCCACGCTAGGCCTGGGCTCCGCGGAGGGGCCTCGAGCGCCCGCGCCGGCTCCTCCCCGCAGGCCCCGCGGCAGCCGGGCTGCCCAGGGGAAGGGCAGGCACCCGCGCCTCGGAAACGAGCTCTGTGAAGGCCTAGAGCCCTTCCTGCTTTGCCCAGAAGCTCCGTGTTTACTCGTGAGCTCATACCAGGGCCGTGCATGTGTCAGGGAAACACAGAGGCCTGAGAAAACAAAGATATCTGATGCTTTCAGCTGTTTTTGTGTGTGTTTGTGTGTTCAAATCTTGGTTTAGCTTGTTGCAAAGCGAAGGATGATGGAAATTTTCAACCAAATGGCCTCATGAAATATTCAGCTTGCTGCTTGTGCCTGGGGGGCAATCTGCACAATTCCCATACAGTTGGAGCAAGAAGAGAAGTGCTGAAGTGTATTTCTCATACGGTTAAAATGTTTATAATCTAAAAGACTAAAAATGCAGAACTACTGACATAATTCTTCCCTTGGAAAATACATTTACTCTGCCTGGGATTTTGCTAAAGGAGAAGATGTGATTCCATGAGCAGAGAATGAAGCAATGTCATAAATAACACCTAAAAGACCTGTAATCACAAATAGTTTTTCCGTAATAGATATTAGACACAGTTATGTCTGGATGACAGAGAGCTCCAGACACGAACTGACTGCAACCCTTCCCTCCCCGCAGCGCCAGCAGAGGTTGGGACGAGGCTCGGGGCGCACGGGCCCTCCCCAGGACTTGCAGCACGGCCTCCCCCTGCATGGCCCCACGGACACCGCGCGCAGAGGGGCGGCACCCGCGCTGCCCCGGGAGGCAGCGGCTCCCAGCGTGTCCGCACGACCCGCGTGCACGCGCCACCGCGGTGCCAAATCGCACTGGCATCACCTTTTCTTCCAGGATTTTGAGCTTAACAGAAATAGTACTCAGCAACCAGCCTTAAAGTGGAGCAAGGATGGCACCCAGTGGCCAAACAGATTCATCTCAGACAAACGCTGCTCGTGTTTCCACTCCTCACCTTCCAGAGGCATTCAGTCCGCAAGAGGCTCTAGCTCTAACCCAAACTGCTCAGTAATGTCCGAAACCCTTCAAGGGCAACATCTTGTTTGTTTAGAGATAATTGTATCTGCTGTTACAAAATATATTGCAAAATAATGCTTAGAGAAACACTGCAGTTCATAATTAAAATCTTAACAGTAAGTGTTTATGATGAACAGCTGTTTGCAGACAAAACACCGTATAGCCATAAAGGGCCTGTTACCAAAAGTATTTTGTCTTCTCATGCTACTCTTTTTATACCGCATATGTTAGCAAAATAATAGTTCCTCTCCTGGTTTTATAATTAGTTCCATTGCTAAGGAATTTTTTTATTTTTCAAATAATGTTGATAATATTAATACCAGTCTTAATATTTCTATCCAAATAGTTTGATTAGAGAAAAAAAAAAAAAGAGAGAGAGAGAGAAAAGAGGAAAAAAAAGAACACAGAAAAACAGAAAAAAAAGGAAAGAGAAGAGAGAAAAAAAAAGGAAAAAAGAAAAAAGGAGAAAAAGAAAAAAGAAAAAGGAGGAAAAGAGGAAAAAAAAAGAGAAAAGAGGAAAAAATTATTTACTTTACAGGAAATTCCCTGCTGTAACTTTCAATCTGCTAGGCCTACAAAACAAATCGAAGCACAGCTAAACAGATATGTTGTAAAATGCAGAATGATGTACTATTTTGCCGCATTGCTTTGAATAATTCTTTCTTTCACAAGTGAAACAGTAAAACACTCTTGGGGCTGTTACATACATGGCTGGTCCCAGGGATCTCCACGAGCTGCACTGGGAGTAACTGGCTCCTCATCGACACTGACAGGCGGTCAGTCACTCTAGACCCATCTTGATGTTCTACCTAATCTATCCTCATTCTCCAAAACTTCAATTTTTGAAATTATCCAACTTAAAGCCCACAAGTCTTCATTAGATGCATTTTTCTCCCTGTCTGAAAGCCCTTCCCATGCGAACGCCTGCATCCGTGCTACTTTATCATTGGACAAATGCTGACTCTTTTCCTCCATCCATCCATGCTCCGGTCTGCAGGACAGTAAAGGCATCCTGCGTCTCATCGCTTTTGCGTGGCCCGACCTGTGCTTATCCCTCGGAACTTTCCTGCCAACAGGAGATGCTTGTCCCGCGCGATGACCCATCGGATGGGAGGGCAGCCGGGAAGGCTGCAGGATAGCGAGTCTTTTCATCTGCCATTCCCAGCAATGCTCTGCACGCCCCCAGGTATTCCCGATTTTCTTCTGAGCATTCCCAAGTCCTGAAGCAACTTTCAGATGCACCAAATAAGAAACTTCCCATGTAAATAACAACACAAAATACAGCACTTGAGAGCAGCAAAAGAACAGCACATACTGTCTTTTTTATGTATGGGTAAATTAATAACCATAACTGCTTTATTACTTGCTCCTCTACTGATAATTTCTGTTGTTGAAGTAGCACTACATTAGTGTGCATAATTACTAAGAAACTGAAAAACAGCCACTACTAAAGGCAATAAGTCAGTAGTATTTTAAACTACTTAGAATTGTTTTTAGAGTGTAAAAGGATATTACATGCTTTGAATTTTATTACAATCTAAGCCAAATTGAATATATTTCAGCTTTAAGAAGTGAAGAATGCTTTCTCTGAAGTAGTATAAAAGACCCATTTTGACCATGAAAGTAATTTTAATATTTTCCTGTTATTTTCAGCGACAGAAAGTAGCTTATTATTTAAGTATTTCTAAAACACTGAGGTTTGAGCTCCAGTGTGAATGTGAAGTAGCTGATCTTAGAAGTATTTATTATTAATATTTTCAGTCATGTCTAGTCTTTACACTACAGCCTGTATACCAATATTGATTTTTCATATTTAATAGTGACCTTTAAAACCTTTGTTTCTAACCTACAGTGTAAACCCAAATAGATATTAATCTGTACAAGAAATACACATAAAAATAGACACATTTTGCATTTATGTTTGAAAAATAAGACTCTTAAAAACTTCATTTACTTTTTTTGCGCATGCTCATTATACAAAATGAGCACAACCTGTTCTGATGATTATTAACAACAAATAAAGGGCTAATTTCAGGGAGTCTTTTGCAAAAAAATGTCAGTTTGACTACATGCTATCAAAATAAAATTAATTTGGAAATTTCAATAGAATTATGTTTACACTTTGGAAAGGAGATTTATAATTCCCATTATTTTTTCTATTAACTATTGCTAGAATCAGAATTTACACCTTGCAGGACACTCGTCTAGCAGAACACTACTCCTTTAACAGTAATTCATAAATGGGTGCCTCTGATGACTCTAACACACCTAAGCCTTCCCACTTCCCTTTCTGCTCATTATATATCCTATAAAACAAATTAAAACAAATTTCCCATTATCAGCCCCCAAGTTCTTCCCAGCAAAATGTCCTGTTGTTCTTTTACATGCCTCCTTCTCAGCACAACCTGTCTCCCTATGTCAGACTTCACGACGGGAACACCATCCCTATGAAAGTGGCTGCTGTGTTAGTGGAGACACCTGAGAATCACTGACCTTGGCACTGAGCGAAGGAGCTGAAGGGCTTGGCAGGCCTGGCAAGGAATGCTCCAAGAGCTTGAGCAAGATGGGAGGAAACACAGATTTCAACAAACATAGGGGTTTGCTCCAAAGTCCCTGTCTGCAATTTCTGAGACCTATGGCCATAATTACCAAGTCAAAGAGCAGCATCCACTGCTGTTTGAAGATGGAAGGTAAGATTTCTTTCCTGAATGACAGTGTGATGCAAAGTTATTTGACTGGAAGACTATGATTAATCACACAGGAATGGTGGTACTGTGTTACATCAAAGGTCCTCCTATGCCCTATGCCTTAACTATGACAGGGCTCGACAGCAGATGCTCAAGGAAGAGTATGAGAACCGAGAAGATGCTTTCCCTTGGCATACACTTCTTCCAGCTCCAGAGATTGCCCGAGCCAGGGCACTGTATCTGTGCAACATGTCTCATTTGACTCTTCTTCCTGTTAATTCATCATTTAACTCTGCAACATCTATGGTGAGAGATCACATAGTTTAAGTATATGTTTTTTTAAAAAGATTTTTTTGTCAGATGAAAAGCTGTACACCCTAATAGTTCTGCATTTCATGAGATGGCTCTAAACCTAAGCACTACAAAAGAAGAAATAATGAACTCTACTCTTCTTTCTACTCCTCTTCTCTACTCCTTTTCTCCTTCCCTTGCCATTCCATTTTTTCACTGAAATTTAAAGTTTTTTTTTCCAGTTTTATACATCTTTGAACTATGCAGCATTAGCCAGATATTAACAAACAAGAGGCTTACATTCCAGATACTGGAATTTAAAAAGCAATATTTTATTTTTTAGTCATTATTTATTATTTTTCATCATTTCAGTGTATGCAATGTGTTTCTGACTTCTTGTTTCCATGACAACTGAAGACCTAGGCACATGTAAAAGGGTATGAAAGCTGTAATACAATAAAGACCTCAGCTTCATGAATTATGAAACTCTTACAATATGCCCTACTCGTGTTCCATGCAGGTGGTATGTGTGGAAAAAGAGAGAAAATACTTTATATCTTGTGACCGTGTACATTTCTGAAAAGGAAAAGGACACACAGTTCAACACTAACACTCAAGCCTTGTACACCCTCAAGGTTTCTCCTTGTTTCTCCCTACTGCTGCTATTCACCGTGGACCTTGAGCAGCCAGAATTAGCACTGGGAACGGCTCAGTGCAGGCACAGACCCTCCTGCAACAGCCACTCTGAGACTCGTCCTCTGGGCA